CAGGCATTGTGGGAAGTGGGGCCCTCGACTGAGGGGGTTGGAGGCGAGGCCGTTTGTTTTCTCGTGGGCTCCGACTCGCGCGCTCCCCCCTCCCCCCGGCGAGCGGCGGGGCGGAGAAACGGCGGCGGAGGCGGCAGCTGCGGCTGTAACAGAGGACACGCTCCCGTCTCCTCTCCGGCGAACGGTTCCTCTCTCCCCTCCCTCTCACTGTTTGTTGTGTGTTTGATGTGTTAAAGCAGGAGCGAGCAGCGCCATGAGCAACACTACCGTCGTCCCCAGCACTGCGGGCCCGGGCCCCAGCGGCGGGCCGGGCGGCGGCGGCGGCGGCGGCGGCGGCACCGAGGTAATCCAGGTGACTAATGTCTCCCCGAGCGCCAGCTCTGAGCAGATGCGGACCCTCTTCGGTTTCCTAGGCAAGATCGACGAACTGCGCCTCTTCCCGCCGGAGTGAGTATCGTCCACCATCACCGCTTTTGCTAACTCCTCCCCGCCGGGGCCTAACCACACCATTTCCTAGGCCCTCGTCGGTGCTTCCGTGGGCCGGCAGCTTTAGCTGAGCTGGCTTTGCGTTTACTTCCAAAAAATCTGCACATCGGGCCTCCTACAGAGGCAGGGCCATGGTTTGGGGGGTTAGGAGGGGTCACTGGCTCTTAATCTCAAACCCCCGCCCCCTTAAATTGTGCCAATAGCGTTGTTTTTGAGCAACTAAAGGATAACTGCATTTTATGTGTTTTGATTAATTTTTTAAGTTGTTTGAGTTCTTTGGAAAGTAACAGAGTTGCCCATTAGTATATAAATTTATTATTGAACTTTGTAGGTGATCGTTAATTTACTTCTAGGAATTGCTGTTCGGATTCTGGCCCACTGAATACATACAGAGTTAATCTATTAATACTCTGTACTTACTTTTAATGACAAAAAAAATGGGTTATAGCTGAAAGCTAGAGTTTTCCTTTATTTAAATAATATATATAGTTATGTTTTACAGTTCTAAATTTTTAATTTAGAGTGTGTGGGGTTTTTTTTATCCTGTTGTCTCACTTTTTTTTTATTGCGAAAGTATTAGATGAGTGAATTGTAAAGAAGCTGTGACGCTAGATAAGATGTAATAATTATTAGAACAAACATTTGGAATAAAAAAATGTGCACTCTTTGGGAAGGGTGAAAATTCAAGTGTTATTTTGAGTATATTCTCCCATCCCACTTAGTTTTATGATTTCACTTGAGTTCTAAACAGGAAATAGGAATCTGCTGTTTTGTTGGATGTGATAAATCATTACTCTGTGTACTCTGTACACCAAAATAATACAAGTTGACCATACTGTTGTATTTCTTAGGTGTTATCGTATTACATCACTTTCTATTTAAAATATTTTCAGGACCTTAGTGTTTTCAAATTGTTGTATTTTAATATTTAGGGGAATATACGTAGAGAGATTTTAGAATTATTTGCATGAAGTGTACAGTTCCAGGAACAGGTTATTTGTAGTAACCTTGAATAGAAACTCAATTTGCTTTGATAATGAAGGACAAATAGCTCTCAAAATTTGAACATACAGAAATAGAAGTTTTCCTGTTACTCAGTTTTTCTCACAACATATTCCTCCTTAAGTTGTTAGTAAACTTAATAAACAGTAAATGGGCAGAAAATGAGTGACACATTTGATTATGTTCAAAGTATTTGAGATACTGGATTTATTTACAAAATAATTCTTTCTAGTCCCACACGTTATTAAGAATTTTCTTATAGTTGCTGACCTTGGTTTTATTTATTTTGAAGATGCTCTTTTTATGATTCGTTTATTAAAAAGATGACAAAGAGAGGTGTAAGTAGCTTTCTGGTTTATCTTACCCATTCCATGGTCAGTATCTTAGAGGGAGTCTTGGCTTTTTGCTTTATAATCCAAGGAGTAGTTTCATCATGTAACCAGGATAGCAATTAATATGATTTGGGGTACTGTACATTAAGAGGGCATTCCCTGTATTGGAAGAAGGAGTTGTAAATTGACACATTTCTGCTCTTTGACTCCTTCATAATGTGCCCCCACATGCAGACTGTTTTCTGAAAATGTACAGTTACAATGTAGTAAATGCTGTATTATCTTAGTGGCTTCCCTAAATTGAATAGTACTTATGTAATTATCTACTTTTGTTGCTAATCTCACATTCCAATAGCTCATCTGACATGCACAATTTGAAAATATTTTGTAGACAATTTCTTTAAGCTTGCTACAGTGACGATGTGCTATAGAGTTTTGGTAGTAGTCCAAAAGGGTTCATATATCAAAACTTTGCTCTTAGAATCTACTTAATTGGCTCATATTACATAAAATTATTACTGTTATAAACATATTTGCACGTGGTGTGTGTTTGTTTGTTTGTTTGTTTTTGTTAGGGTGTACATCTCCTTCCCCTCCCCCCCCCTCAAAAAAAGGCAATCATATCCATCTAGAACTCTTCTCCTAGGTATGACCATGACATGTTTATTTCCTTTTGTTGCTCAGATGCCACCTAATCTGTTTCCGATCAACCTGTATAAAAATACATCACATCTGCTGCTGCTTTATTCAACTTAACTGCTTTGTTTTTCTCTGTGGCACCAATCAGCAACAGGTTAAATTTAATTCTCTCTCTTCTAGAATATGAAGCCATTGGTTGGGGTCATCAATATTTTGGAAGACTGTTCTAAACTACACACATATCTGAGCCCCTGCCTATTTGGGGGGAGGGGGGGGACCTTGGGATCTGAATCATGCCAAACATTTCAGTGGCACCTCCTCAAGAAGGATTCTCCCTTTGTTTTATTCTTGAATCCATCTATTTCCTGATTCTTTTAAGCCAAAAATTGCTGGCTTAAAATTTCACCCAGTGATAAAGTTGCCTATCTTCACAACAGATATTCTAACCCTCTCTTCACTATGATAGCTCTATAGGCATTAAAAGTATCTGTCATTGTTCTTCCCATTTATTCTCTTTAAAAAAAGAAAATGGTTACTATAATTGTAGTTCCTAAAATTCATGTTGGCAATTAAATAGTTCGTATGCTAGGTGCTTTCTAATTTTATCTTACTCTGCTGTTATAAATCTAGAGGGGAAACGTATTTAGCCATATTTCACAGATGAGTGAACTATAATTCATGTAGGTAGTTTTTTATACCCAAGCCACTCTATCAGTGACAGACCTAGTATTAAAATGTCAGTGTTGTGACTCATTTATAACTTGATCAGAATTTTTTTGGTTTAGCCTAGCAGCTTGTGAGTGGAATCACTCTTTTACACATAGTAGGTATTCTTCATATGTTTGGTTTTAGTGGGATTTCAAAATGGGAAATAAAACTGGAATGTTGATAGGGCAGTGATCCCAGCAAAGCATATATATGTCAAAAGTATGCAGTAACTAAAGGTTACTGTAACACTGCAGTTAACAATTTCATTATATAAGTATTTCAATAACCAAAAATAGATACTTTAATCTATTAAAGTATAAGTAACTTATATGCTACTTTACTTTTAAAAAAATTAAGGTAAACTAAGTTCTCTAACCTAGAGCATTTAATGGGCTCTTTAATGGTTAAAAATACGGATATCAGAAAAGAAATACAAATTGCTATATATAGCTTTAGTACTAAAACTGCTGGAATTGTATTCTTTCCACTATTCTGTATGTAACATTATTAAATTTTTCACCAGTGGTCCTTCACATTAAAAAAACTGTCTGTCTACATTAAAAAACATTGTAGCCTTTCAAAAACATTTTGCAGTAAGCTTCTATGACAAGGTGGCTTAAATTCTATGTGAGTGGACATATTGTCAACTTTGCTTCGAACTTGGATTAGAATCTATGCTTAGTATCTAAGGGCAATGCCTTTTATAAACTTGCAAATTCTAACAGGTTTGAATTCTCACGTTATACAGCTTTATGTTAGTCTTTGTTTTAAGTAATGAGTTTTTATTTTCGCGTTAGTGCACAAATTGGGGGAGTCAGCAAATACTTATCCATGCAATACCTCTCTTAACCAGACCTGATGTAAATGTTTTTGTATACACTTGGAAATCTAGTTTATTAAGAAGACTAACAATAAGCCTCATTCTAATAGCCTCATTCTATCGATAATATTAAAAGATACTACAGGATTTTCATTTGAGTCTTAAAATGTAATTGGCTTACTATAATAAAACAGGTTCTTTACCCTGGTGCATGTGAAAATTGTCAGAATTAAAACAAAGGAGGAAACACTTAGTACTTCATAAGAAATTTAATTGCTGTGGAGTAGAGTACTAGGGTATTTTTTTCTCCACAGAAGATTCTAATGTATGACCAGGATGATGTGATTACTGCTGCCTTAGGGCATTGGTTTTAAAATAACTTTTGGTTTGGGATTAGGGAGCAACTCCTGCCCATATTTAATCTTTCCTTTTCATAGAAAGTTTTGTGGCAGAAATTTGAACCACCCTATATTTAAAACAAAACAAAATCTGTACTCTTTAATTTATCTTACCTTATAGTCTGCCATAATTTGTACAAAGGACAGGGCATTTTATTAAGTAAGCAGGAAAAGAAAACTCGATTGTCAAATAGATACACTTTTCCACAATATTTTTTTGTTCCTGAATTGGCAAATTCTGTATATTTTTGCTCTGAAAAATTTTCTAAGCCAAGACTACTTTCTACCTTTATTTAAAAATAACTGGTAATGGTATTATTTTACTTCAAGTGTTGACATTTTTGTGATCTACTCAAATTCTGACACCTGAGTTTCAAACTGTCTTTAACTTGGTAAACTATAAAGTTAAACAGTGATTGCAGATGTGCAATTTACTCTACATGAGTTTAGTGGATAGTTCTTTATGTGTGATGTCATTTTTTTTAAACTAGCTAATATGTGCAATTACTAATATCTGCTTATTTTGCTTATGAAATGCAGGAGTGGGTTTATGAATCATACATAAATGTTTTACTAATATTCTTTTCCTCTACTTTTATGAAATTTGTTTTTCAGTGATTCACCTTTGCCGGTCTCATCCCGTGTCTGCTTTGTTAAATTCCATGATCCAGACTCGGCAGTTGTGGCTCAGCATCTGACAAACACTGTATTCGTTGACAGAGCATTGATAGTCGTACCATATGCAGAAGGTTTGTGCTTTGTTTACCTACCTATGTGGGCATCCAATGATGACCATCTACCTCAGTATAGTTTTAGAGTGAGTGTTAGTAGCATGTTAAAAACCTAAGCTATTAACAATTTGAAACCCTTGTTATACTGTGGTCCATATTTTTACTTAATATTTTAATTCTAAAAATTAGAAATCAGATCTGTTTTTATAAAATATTTAACCATTCCATTATTTTAAAACATTTTTAAGTTCTTTAAAACCATGTCCCTAATTGTAAATCCTTAAGTTCATTTACTTAGTTAATGTAACATTGAATTTTATAAAAAAGTCCTAAAGGTGAATGGTTCATTCCATGCACATTACACAGGGACCTTCAAATAAATGCATGATGTTATTTCCGTTTTGAATAAAGGACTGGGCTTTATTTTTTTAGTGCTTCCTCACTGACAATTTTACAAAAAGATCCCATATTGAATTCCAGTATACCAAGGGTTGCAATGATTTTGGTTTGTATGAATATTCAAGATTTCCTATAGCCTAGGTGCCAGATGGGCACTGGGTGTTTTGTTTTTATTGCCAGATTTTCTTGTTCATTCTTGCTATATTTTCTAGAATATCTCTAAATAATAAATTCTTCTCTCTGTTATTTGTGTGTGTGATTTTTGTAGTGGAGAAGGCAAATGCAAAACTCTTCCTGATGACTGAAAAACAGTGGGTCCTCTGCAGCTACAGGGGATTCTAGACATTAACTAAAGGCCAGCAAGCACTCAAGTCCCCCAAGTGTTTTCCTGGTGTAACCATTTGTTAACTACATTTTCTTTTTCTTTTTACATTTTAGGCGGTTAAAGTAACTTGACAGAAATAATGAGCAGGGTTTTGGGATCTTAAAAAAGCCACTGTGACAAGACAGCACTATTTTAATCCATTTTGTAAATTTTCTAAGCCATATTTTATTAGTTTGTTCCCAATGTACTGCTACTTTATTTGCTTTTTTGTTATTTATAGATTTTGATCAAAGAAATAACAAATATAAAATTACTGGATTTTAATTAAGTTAATAATTATGGGTTTTAAGTTAATTTACAACATTAAGTTATTTCTGACCAGGATTTAATGCTTTCCTCTTTCCTTAATGTACTGGTCAGTGGAAGCAGAATCTTGATATTGTTTACTTTAGATGCTATCTCAGATCTTTGAGTACCAATGTGAACATTTACACCATACCTTGTAAAAGTTGTGAAATGTCTAGTCCTTAAAACTTAAACAAATTGCCTCTGGTTTTCTAAAGAAATTAAGTTGCATTCATAGATGGGGTAAAGGCATCTATATAATAGTACATCTATCTCGATTATATTAAATTGTGTGGACCAATTTAAAGGTTTTAAAATATATATGGTGATAAACATTTGATTTAGTGTGTTTTGATTAAGCAATTCTTTATATATCGGTTTGCCTGTTGTAGGATAAGACTTGCCACCAAAAGAAAATTTACAGAATTCAAATTTAGAATAAGTAAAATATAGATGATAGTTTTTGGAACAAAGGTCAAATCATGTGAGTACTGTGCAAAACATTAGCCTTTAAATTTAAAGAATTCTTATTGGCTAAGTATTGTATCATAGTTCCCAAGCCCTGGACATAATACAGTATATCATCGTATTATTGGCTTTTATAAATACTTTTAGACTGGTAATTTTTCTGAATTTGTTTCAAAAGTGAAATATTTAGGAATTTGTTTAGAATTACCAAAATACTTTGTTCTGGAATCTATTTTTAGTGTATTTAATAATGGTATGGTATGCTGTATTACTGTTATCTCCACTAAATAACTGATGTACTCAATCCCTTTGTCACCACTCACCCTAGTTTTAGTTTTGACACTTTGGTGTTGCTTCTTGATCATGTTTTAGAACAATAGACACAAAGTATACGGTAAGGAATAGTCTTAATTGATAAAACTGAGGTAGCTGGATTTGGAAGGAACTCTTAATAGTAATGGATTTGGGGGTTATTTAGGTTCCTTGGTTAATGTTTGTTTCTTTTGTCTGTTTCTTTTTCTTTCATTTCTACACATTCATGCAGTATTTCATGGTTCTATCAAAGCAGCAGTAAAAAAAATACTCTTGACGCATGAAAATTAACTGGTGAGGGGCCTCATTGCTATTTTTAAATTGTAGTTTTATTTTTAAATAGTCTTTTTTAAATCAGAGGATCAGATGCATGACTTTTTTTTTAATGGATGCAGATCTTCTATCAGGTGTCTCAAAATAAATTCAAGAGGATTGTAGTTTGCCAGAAACGTTGCAAATGCACTAATTTGAATAAGATGTTGATACTTAATATTATCCTCTTGAGACATAATTTTGCATGCAAGATTATCCCAATAATCTTTGTAGGTTTGTTAATATTGATGCATTAATGCCCTATATCTAAATGATCTTCTCCCTCCCCCCTCCATAACTCTGGGTATCTAAATTGATGACAGCTCTGACACAAGCAAGATAACAGTGCTGTGTAGTATACATTTGTTTATATTATCGGCACTTCTCAGTATAGGTGGAAGGAACCATTACCTTTATTTAACAGTGGTTTTTCTTTTTTGTTGTTGTGTTTTACAGTTCTTTTCCCTGGTTCAGCCTGAACTATATACCAGGCCCTGCTGAAAATACCACCCAACAGTTTTCTTCTGCAGCTTATCCAGTTTCTCTTAAGTGCCCTGTACATATTGTATGTTTTATGATGAGATGCAGTTTCTTAATATGTATTACAGAAATACTACTGGTATTTGCAAATATATAATTTAATTGTATTATTGAACTCTCATTTTGGGGGCTTGGGCACATTAACAGATTAATCCATCTGTATAGGGCTTTTGCTGTTGGATAGAATTTAAATTGTATACATAAATATTTGTCTTAGGACCCTTAGATGTTATCTGAATACACAGATTAGGCTTTAAAAACAGATATACATGTTTTCGACTTTAGGAATTTGCTTAAGTTAGCTTTTGAACTCACACTGTATAGCAGCATTTTTTGGTATGGTTAGCATGGCACATGCTGGAATATAAAGCATTTTACTCTACAGGTAAGGAATGTGCCATGTTGTTTTACCCATTCTCTCTCTCTCTTTCTCTCTCTCTCTACTCCCCCACACACATCCAGTGTGTATTCAGAGACCTTCAGAAACATTTCATTTTCATGAGTCAGCAAAAGCCCTACACTTGATTCCAACAGAATATTTCCTTTACATACTTTCCTTCTCTGAATTTTTACAAAATTTGTATGGTAGGTGTAAAAGAAAATCATAGTAACTGTACCATATTATTAACCCCTAAATCAAACTTTTTTTGTCTTGTGTATCTTGATTTTTCTGTGTGCTTTATAGTGAAGCAGCCGACACGAGTCGTTGTTCATAAAACAGCTTTTGAAAGTTGAGAGCACACCCCTGGAGAACCGACTGTGCTTGCTTACGTTTGGTTCATGACTTAAAAATCGAGTACAGGTGATGAAATCTTGGCAGTGTTAACAAAAAAGTAGTGTGTATTTGTGCTATTTTTTTTACTCTAGAAACTTAACCATTTGTAGAGAAAAAAGGAAACATTTTCACACATTGAAGTTTCATTCTGACATAAAATTAATGATAAATAATAATAGAAATCAAGCTTTATATTTTAGCGAACATAAGTACTTTCAGCAAACTCAGGTGGTGTATCAGGGAGACATTTTCTGGGTGTTTTTGTGTGTTTTCTGTCTTGCAAAAGGGTGTGTTCTAATGCAAGGATGTTTCTCTGCAGGAGTTATTCCTGATGAGACTAAGGCTTTGTCTCTGTTGGCACCAGCTAATGCAGTGGCAGGTCTTCTGCCTGGTGGTGGACTCCTGCCTACTCCTAACCCACTTACCCAGGTATTAGTTTTTTAAGTATTGTAATTCTAGTTCACAGAATGATCTCATGTGTTATATTAAAGGCTATTGCAATCATAAATCCTAAAGAGAATTCTTAGAAGTTTGCATTTTAAGAATATCTGTTATATTGGTTTTGCCACTGACTCAGAATAACTCAGTAATATGAAAAAAAATTTCGTGGAGCATAAGACTTCAGTTGAACAAACTTAAAAATAATATGTTTGCTTTGACCAGGAAAGAAAATAAAGGTGAATTTCAGACTTCTTTGAGAATGTTTTTCGATCTTTTGCTCTTATCTGGGTGTTTTAATTAAATTGATGTCTTGAAATAAAAATGTATTTGTGGATACATAGTTAATATGGGGAATAAAATATTCAAGTTGGAGGAAAATTTACTTGGCAATATAAAAAGCATATCAATAGGCAAAAGGTTCTTTAAAAGTTATGTATTGAAACAGCTCTGTAACTGGTCAGTGGTTTCACATATAAAGCAAATGATAGAACCTCAACTAGAATTTTATAACAGCATTCCTTTAATTAAATCATTTTCTCTGTCTAAATAGTTTAGTAAACTGTTAAGTGAACTATATGGTATTATAGAAGGAGAATGAGATCAGGAATTCCCAGCTTTTATGAGTATGACTTTGATTGTCACATATAAAATGTGGACCTGAGAAATTTGTAGACACTTTTGATGTATAAAGTTGTATAAAAGCTGAAACAGCTTATACAATAGTATTAATACAGTTTTTTAACTTTTTAGTAAATAGTTAAATCACAGAAAGTTTGGAAATTTATATTTATTAAAAATGAATTGAAGCTAGGAGAACTTTTGTAGAGAAGTAAACTGCCTGCAAAGCTATAGGATTTTGTGTGGTTTGTGTCTTAAATTATTAATCAGAATTATATTGCGAAGGAGATGCAATCACACAATAATTTGAACGGTGAGAGTTTATTATAAGGAATTAGTAACTTGTAACTGGGCCTTACTAAGGGAACTCTAAGAACACATAAGTTGCAGATATAGGAAGCAACCATTAATTTTAGGGCTGAGGAGGAAATACAGGGATTTAGATGAGGGGCTTTGCAACCCTCTTGGTATAAGATTAAAATCTCCTTTGAAAGGGGTGGATACTAGAGAAGTTTCCCAGCATGGCACAGATCTTGTTAGGTAGCTGCCCAAGAAGATGGCGGTGAAACTTTCTGAGAGGTGAAGGCCACTGGATATTTCATATGGTGCTATAGTAACAATTCAAGAGGACATAGGAACCAGGAAGAGAAATCCATTTCACAATGTCATTCTAGTTCTTTATCTCCTGATAGATAAAGCTTTTAAGATTCCATCTGCCAATGGGGAATTGCTGCCTTAAGTATCACAAAACAGGGCAAAGAACTGGATTTGGAGCTAAGAAACAAATATTTATGATTGGCACAAGAATATTTTGACTTTTTTCCCCCCTAAATTCTGATTGTAGGGATAAATGTGCTATAATGGCAGGTAGAAAATGAGACCAGAGGTAGGCAAACTATGCCTATTTGTTTATTGTGTATGCCTGTTTTCAAGCTATAATGGTAAAGTCAAGTAGTTGTAACAGATTACATAGCCTATGGACTTAAACTTAGTTCTTTGCCCTTTAGAGGAGAAAATAAGGTGACTACCTCCCTCCTCCCCTCTCCCCCCCCCCACACACACACACACACACACTGTAAGGAACAGAAATGATACTTTAGATAAATAAAATTTGTAATTTCACAGATTGGCGCTGTTCCATTGGCTGCTTTGGGAGCTCCTACTCTTGATCCTGCCCTTGCTGCACTTGGGCTTCCTGGAGCAAACTTGAACTCTCAGGTATAATTTAATACCCTTCAAATTTGAGCTCATTCTAATAATTAAATACTTTATTTTACTTACAACTACTACTGGGCACTTAAAAAGCAGACGATAACTAATTGCTATGGTGTAGTATTTTTTTTCTCATATAGTCTTGTTAAAAGGTCACGGCATTATTAGCCTACTAACCCATTAAAGAATTTTACTTTATATGTTTTACTTTTTTTCCCCCCCTCATCCAAGATTTGTGGTGGTTGTTGACTTTTATTTTATTTTTTTAATATATTTTATTGATTTTGTACAGAGAGGAAGGGAGAGAGATAGAGAGTTAGAAACATCGATGAGAGAGAGTCATCGATCAGCTGCCTCTTGCACACCCCCTACTGGGGATATGCCCGCAACCAAGGTACATGCCCTTGACCAGATTCGAACCCGGGACCCTTCAGTCCCCAAGCCGACGCTCTATCCATTGAGCCAAACTGGTCCCGGCTGTTGTTGACTTTTAGAGAGAGAGAGAAACATCACTCAGTTGCCTCTTGTGCACACCCTAATCAGGCATCCAGTCTGCAACCGAGGTTATGTGCCCACACCAGAAATTGAACCTGCAACTTTTTTTGGTATACAGAATAATACTCCAATTAAGTCACCTGGCCAGGCAAAAGTTTTTCGTTTTATATAGTTCACTGAAGAGAGTAGTTTCACAGAAATATAACACATCCTCAATACGTTATGGTTTTTTTTGTTTGTTTTTTTCTTCTTCCTTTTGTCATTTGCTCAGTTGGAAGTTGTTTTCTCCTTGTGATTTGAAATTTTTTGGACATCCTTTGTGGAAATATTTTGATTTATTATATTGGCCAAGTACTTTGAGTTGTGTTTTACATGTTTCTTTTAAGCATTACTTTCCCTCATAAAGTCTTAAATAAGCAGAAGGTAATCCTGTATAATAAAAGTGTAGTATGCAAATTGTCCCTTCGACCTGAGTTCTTCCGAGTTCAACCAGGGAATGGGGCTGGCCAGGGGAAGAGAGGAAAGCCCTGGCTGGCAGCTGCTAGGGAACCTATTGGTGCATGAATTTTGTACACTGGGCCTCTAGTTGTTCTATAAAAACAAGAGTAACATAATCTTCCCTAGAGGCCAGGTGCACGAATTCATGCACCAATAGAGTGCCCTCGGCCTGGCCTGTGGGATTGGGCCAAAACCGGCTCTCCCAGCATCCCCCAAAGAGTCCCAGATTGTGAGAGGGCGCAGGCCAGACCCAAGGAGGATGTGGGAGGTTGGCCACCCGGCAGGGGCCGTGGGAGAGCTCCAGAGCATGTCCGGCCTGTCTCAGTCCCAATCAGCTGGACCCCCAGCAACAAGCTAACCTACAGGTGGTCAGTGCACATTATAACAAGCGGTTGAGCAGCCTTAGCATGTCATTAGCATATTAAACTTTAATTGGTTGAAGGACCAGCTGGACAACCGGATACTTAGCATATTACTCTTTTATTATGCCCTGACCTGTCCCTCCCTAGCTGGCCAATCTCTAGTGTCCATCCTTGGTTGCCATAGTGCACCAGTGGGGTTCCTTAACCTGGCTTGTGCCCTCTCGCAATCTGGGACCCCTTGGGAGAACTGGGTGATCCAGCAGTGGAATGACTGGTCGCTATGACATGCATTAACCACTAGGGGACAGATGGTTAACATAGGATCTGCCCCCTGGTGGTCAAGTGTGCTCCCACAAGGGGAGCGCCACTCAGCCAGAAGTGGCTGGCAAGTGCAGCAGCGGTGGCGAGAGCCTCTCCCACCTCCATGTCAGTCAGACATCCTCTGAGGGCTCCAGGATTATGAAAGGGTGCAGGCCAGGCTGAGGGGACACTCCCGCCCCACCCACCCAACTCCACCCCCAGTGAACAAATTCTGTGACCAGGCCTCTAGTATAGTATATTTAACTTGAATAAAGCACTCTTGAGTATCCAATCAATACTATAGTCACTAATGTCATCTGTTTTTTTGTTTCATTTTCTGCTAGAAAACCTACTGTCACATTTGCCTGGCATTGTAATTTTGTTAGTCATTGATGTGCCTGGTATGTATTTTTCGTAGGTTTGCCAGGGTCTCCTAGGACATTTCAACATCCTGAAAAAATAAAAGGAAATCGTTATTGCTTTACATATTCTCACTGTTATATTTTGTTTTGTTTTTAGTCTCTTGCTGCAGATCAGCTGCTGAAGCTTATGAGTACTGTTGATCCCAAGTAAGGATTTTTTTTCTGTGTTTCCATTGATGATATGCATATAGTATTTGAATGTCTAGACAACAGTTATTTTTTTATAAGCTAAAAAAGAAAGTTCTCTCAAGGCATGTAATATGTAATTCAGTTTTCTAGAAACGAAGAAAAATCCAGTGTGAGTCCATTTATAAGAGGATTTTGATTTTGTCTTAGTGTTAAGTGCTAGGGGATGAATAGGGTTGGAGACAGAAATGAGGGAATCACAATCCTAGAACCAAGGACTGGCATATATCACCATAATAATGGCCAGCATCTTTTTTTTTTTTCTTTTTAATATATTTTTTAAATATATTTTTATTGATTTTTTTTTTTTTTTTTTTTTTTTTTTTTTTTTTTTTTTACAGAGAGGGACAGAGAGTTAGAAACATTGATCAGCTGCCTCCTGCACACCCCCTACTGAGGATGTGCCCACAACCAAGGTACATGCCCTTGACCGGAAACGAACCCGGGACCTTTCAGTCCACAGGCCAACCCTCTATCCTCTGAGCCAAACCGGTTTAGGCATGGCCAGCATCTTTTAGGTGCTTTGAAAAGTTCTCTTTATGCTGTCATTTTTCTATTTCCTACTTGGTATACATGTAACAAAGTCATGGTTACTTTCATTGGTAATTTGTTAGAATGTTAAGTTTGAATTGAATGATTTTTCTCCTTGGTGGAAGTTACTATCAATAAGTGGAAGAGTATGGGAAAAGGGAAGACAGGATTACTTTGATGTATTAGTTTGTGGGCTTTTTCTTTCTTTTTTTTTTTCTTTTTTTTTCCCCCCTTAAAAACGATGAGAAAAAAATCCAAGTGGTGGGTACATGTCTCACCCAGCTTGTAAAATGAAATATCAATAAAGTTGAAATTCCTTGCATACCCATCCATTTTTATTTACATTTCCCTATCTCCCCACAAATGACTATTGTCCTAAATTTTGTCTCTAATTTTTTTCTCACATATATAAACCCTTAAAGCACATGTGTCAAACACAAGGCCCGCGGGCCAAATCCGTCCCGCCAGGCCTTGCAATGTGGCCCGCATCGCGCTGTCATCACTGCACTCCTCTGCGTTTCCATCACAATGACAGTTTATGATTGTTCAGTAAACCATTCGGCCCGCGATTTAGGCTGGATTTTAGATTTTGGCCCCTTCTCTGATTGAGTTCGACACCCCTACGTATATCTTTAGCCTTTCTGATCCGGAATTTCATGAGTAACTTTGGTATGCCATCAGCCTCTGCCCCATTTCTTCCACAAACTTAAAATGCTCTTCCCCAATAGAATTAAAACGTAGAAAGTTTTTAGGTCATATGAAGAAAAGTTTCATTATTCAAAAATCTTTAACATTAGCATATTTCCAGTACTAGCATTTCTTAAAATGTGTATGGAAATTTGATGAATGTTTGCTCAGCAGAATTAAGTAGGCATTTTTCTTATTTCAGATATCCTGAGTCTTTAAAATTCAGGTGGCATTTAAATATTCAAAAGGGTTTAGTATATTATTGTCGAAACCAATCTGGCTCAGTGGATAGAGCCTTGGCCTGGGGACTGAAAGGTCCCAGGTTTGATTCCAGTCAAGGGCATGAACTTTGGTTGCGGGCACATCCCCAGTAGGGGGTGTGCAAAAGGCAGCTGATCAATTATTCTCTCATCGACGTTTCTAACTCTCTGTCCCTCTCTCTTCCTCTCTATAAAAAAATCAATAAAATATATTTAAAAAAATATATTCAGAATGGTACTTATACTATGTATAGTTTTACAAAAAAAAAAAAAAAAAAAAGAAATGTAATCCTCCCCTTTCTTCCCAAGGAATGGCTTACTAAAATGTTACATGAAACATGTTTATTTGAAATGCTATTGTGCATTTTAAAATATTTGATTTTTGGTTCTGTTTCAGATTGAATCATGTAGCTGCTGGTCTTGTTTCACCAAGTCTAAAATCAGATACCTCTAGTAAAGAAATAGAGGAAGCCATGAAAAGAGTACGAGAAGCACAGTCCCTAATATCTGCTGCCATAGAACCAGGTAAAATATGTTCACGCACTTTTGTTGAATACTAAACTACATGATGGTTTGCAAATATGATTCGTGCATTAGTTTGAATATTTTTTTTACTTAATACTCTAGTCATTTTTTAATTTTTTCAATTCTGATAAAAGATCATTTAGTAGAGTGATTTCATTAGGGGGCGGGGCAGGAATTGTAGTTGACACTCAGACAAACTTGGAAATATTTAGAGACACTTAGTTATTGTGTTGGTACCAAATGTATCCTGTGGGCAGAGGGGCAGGGGTACTGCTAAACATCCTTCAGCATACCCTGCTTTGGATGATCCATTCCAAAATGTTAGTAGAGCCTAGGATTATCTAATAATTGATCTGGTTTTTGTTTGGTTTTATTTTTAATTTATAGTTTGGGATTGTCCTTTATCATTTATGGTTGTTATGTGGCAATAGCCCAATTGATTTTAGTCTTTTATTTGACCAAGAGATGATGCTTCTGATGATGCCATTTGTTTAAAGAAAAGCAGACCTTATTTTTTTTTGCAGATTATCTTTTTGAGATGGAATGAATGGTTATCCTACTGTTGTCCTATGTTTTGATCTTTGGTTCCCCCCATTAAGTATTGTTTTATTTTTCACTGTTATTTCTTAGTAGGAAGATGTTTTAGTAGGTATGGGATTTGGAAAATAAGTACAATATTGGATGAATTAATGCTAAGTGCTTTATGTGTGTTACCTCATTTAACAAAATATTATCCCAAGGTGACATGTCAAATAGGAGCTTTAATTTTCAGTGCACAACTGGATCGTTGATTCCAAAGCTAGAACACCATGCTGTAATTGTGTTTAGTGAAAACGAAAACGTATAACCAAAATGACTAAAAGTGGTTTCTGTATGATCTTTTTTCCAATGTTTTTTAAATTAATAATGGCATTACAATAATTTGGATTCTAATAATAAAAGACTCTTGAGTGTGAAAGAGGACTCATTCTCACTGAGATGATTGTTCATCAGTGTAATGGCTTTATTTCTTTTGTTACCTGTTATTTAAAAACTAGGAAATTGGACAAATCATTCCTCTATTTACACAATTAAACATTGGTGAGGAAGAGGAGAGACAGATTGTGCAACCATGCCTGTTTTCTCAGTGGTTAGAATGTTTTCTCATGGACCAAAGGAATAATGTATTAATCTCAGTGAAATGTAGTTAAATTTGGGAAAGTAATACCTAGGAGTGGAAAAGGGGACTTCTTGTTTATAAACCTTTAAAGAATAAAGGGTTTAAAAGATAACTCTTTTCATAGATTATTTTATGGACACTGGACAGGCTCCTGAGTCTAAAAAATGAAATTATTAATTTTACTAGCCGAAAATCAGAATTCTAATTTGGATCTATCAAAACACTACATAATTTGTGTCACTTCAATAAGCTTCAACATTTTGATTGTAAAATGATTACTTGTAACATTTCAGGATTTAATGTAAATGCTAAAAATTAAAATAAATTCTTACACAATCCCTAAATGGGATTACTTTATTAATTCCTGAATGGGATTAATCTATTTGATGGTTTTAAAATCCAGATTTTTTTTCTTTTAAATCCAGATAAAAAAGAAGAAAAACGAAGGCACTCAAGGTCAAGATCACGCTCTAGGAGGAGGAGGACTCCTTCATCTTCCAGACACAGGTTAGATAGATTGCTTTTAGTATTCAGTTGTACAAAGATAAGTTCTGTGTGCCATATCCTTCTTAATTTACTGACTCTTCACCTTGCAGCTACTGGTTAAACTGTGTCTAAGTAACCAATCCTATTAGCAGAGTGTGTAAATAAGTGTTCACACATGTATAAATGGAGAAACGGTATGGGCTAAAATAGGTGATTGCTACTTCAAAACTCAAAAACATTCAGGGGTAGGAGGAAGGCAATACAAGTCATTCAGATTTTTTTTTTTTTTTTCATGTGCTAGCAGTATTTTTAACTTTGCTGTTGTAGTTTCAATGGACATGGACTAGTTTGACAGGTTGAACAAACAGTATTCATATTTCTAAGGTAATAAAAATGTTTATTATATAGTGTATTGGCTTTCTTTAGGCGGTCAAGAAGCAGATCTAGAAGGCGGTCACATTCTAAGTCAAGGAGTAGGCGACGATCCAAAAGTCCCAGACGGAGAAGATCTCATTCCAGAGAGAGAGGGAGAAGGTCAAGGAGCACATCCAAAAACAGGTATAGTAGACTGTTGACATTGGGTTAGAAGACAAACATTAAGAGTTCCCAAGGCCCAAATACTGTGCTACTTAATTACAAAAGTGATGGTATTGGGAAATAGCAATAGAAGTGGGAGAAACTAAAGTTTGTTGAGACTAGCATTTGTTTCTCTTGTTTCCTTTGTAAACTTCTGATTTCTATTTATACCTGAATATCTAGGTAAGATTTTTGTGTAGTAGAAATTTTTAACTGTCCTACCACCTTTATTTCCTCCTATCCATTCAACCACCACTCAGGATGTAGTGCTACTAGCCATTCTTTGTGGTATGCCAAAGAGTTTATGACAGACAACCATACTTTAATTCATGTTTACATATCTCATCATTGACACTTAAAAATATGTATTAATGGAGTCCCGAAAGAGGATCCAAGATGGCTGCACAGGTAAACACCTAACCACAGCTGCACATAACAATTTCAATAAAATACAACTAAAATATAAAATGGAAATTGCCCAGAGCAACAGGAAAGTTGACTGACTGGAAATTCTACAACAAGAAGGAAAGAGAAAACCAGGAGGAAAATCAGAGGAGCTGTAAAAGCCTAAGGTACGGAGACACACTGCGGGCACAGAGTGGACAGAGCCGGAGAGAAGGGGGAGGCTGAGTGCCTGGCTGGCATTCCCTAGCGGGAAGGAGATAAAAGCTCCAGATTGTGCTGAACCCCAGATCCGACAGCACTGAACCTCAGTTCTGGGCCAGACCCCGGGGACCCAGGCTCATACAGAGGGAGACTGGGCTGTAAGGCGGGAACTCGGGGGAGTGAGTAAAGGCAGAACCCCAGGAGGCGCGCGCATTTTGCACAGAGAAGGGACCTTTGGCTGTGCCGTGAGATTGCCCTGGTGGGAAGGAGACGAAAGCTGACGTGGCTGACAGAAGCCAAGGCTGTAGGCCCTGAAACTCTGCCCCATCCAAGCAGAGCACGGAGACTTTTAAGGCTACCAACTCGGAAGCTGCGAATATGCCAAGACAAGGAAACAGATCACAAAGAAAGAAATGGAGGACAAAAAGCAACTGGATATAGAGTTCAAAACCACACTTATAAGGTTTTTCAAGAATTTCCTAGAAAAGATCCATAAGAGCCGAAGCTGGTTTGGCTCAGTGGTAGTGGTAGAGCGTCGGTCTGTGGACTTAAAGGTCCCAAGTTCGATTCCAGAAAAGGGCATGTATATTGGTTACGGGCACATCCCCGGTAGGGGGTATGCAAGAGGCAGCTGGTCGATGTTTTGCTCTCATCGACGTTTCTAGCTCGCTCGCGCTCTCCCTTCCTCTCTGTAAAAAATCAATAAAATATATTTTTTTAAATCGGTAAGACCTATTAGGATATGAAAAGGGATTAACTAGAAATCATAAGGAGTCAACAAGAAATAAAGAATATGTTGTCTGAAATAAAAAATATTATACAGAGTCCCTAAAACAGAATGGAAGATCGCAAGAATCAAGTCAAAGATTTGGAACATAAAGAGACAAGACACTCCTCCGCAGAAGCAAGAAGGCAAGAGAATCCAGAAAGTTGAAGCTAGTGTAATAAACCTCTGGGATTACTTCAAGTGAACCAACATCAGAATTATGAGGGTCCCAGGAGATGAGAGAGAGCATGATATCGAAAGCATACTGAAAGAAATAGTGACAGAAAACTTCCCCCACCATTTTTTCTTAAAAATGTTTAATCACAAGTAATACCATTCAAATTATATTTCTACATACAGTATCAAAATAATGTTCATATTTAAAAATGGGATTAGATCTCACTGCTTTTGTGTTTATTTGATGCATTATATAAGTTTTTACTCTCTGAAACTTACTAATGCATTCATAAATTATGTTCATTTATTAGAGACAAAAAGAAAGAAGACAAAGAAAAGAAACGTTCCAAAACACCACCAAAAAGTTACAGCACAGCCAGACGGTCCAGAAGTGCAAGCAGGTAAGGCATTATAAACTCCTGGCATTTCTTAAAATTGTTTGCAAGTATATGAATAGATTGTGAACATTGCATGTTTTCTAGTACATATAGGGATGGGCAAGTTCTTTTTACTTACTATTTATGGTTTAGAAGAGTTTGACATGCTTGGTGTAGAACAGCGTTGGCCAGCCTTTAGGACAGCGTGGACCATCAGTGGCCCATGGACCACCAGTTGGCGACAGCTGGTGTAGTGTGTATTTGACATAATATGGAGTTCAACAGAGGTCATTTTTATATTTGCTACATGCATTTTGTATCCTGATTTGAATTACATTAAATTTATTTTTACTACATAGTCATTCTTTAAATGTCCACGTTAATAGTCAAAGAGTTTTTTCTCCTATATATAGGGTTTCGTTGATAAAATAATAACAAGCAGTCAAGTTCAAATTCGTATCATTCTTAGACTTGTAATTCTGCCATAGTGTGAAAATTAATATGTTGCTAACTTTACTCCACAGGAATGTTTTTTGCACTGGTATTTAAACTTTGGTGTTTATATGAAACTACCCTGTTTCCCCGAAAATAAGACAGTCTCTTATATTAGTTTTTGCTCCCAAAGATGCGCTAGATCTTATTTTCAGGGGATGTCTTATTTTTCCATGCGCTAGGTCTTATTTTCAGAGGATGTCTTATTTTCAGGGAAACACAGTAGTAAGGACTGGCCGTACTTAGTAACTCTGTTTTCTTTCCAATCTTGTTTACACATTTTGCATAGTGGTTATTTTCTTATATTGATTATTAAATGCTAGGAGGGTCACTCTATATGCAAAAATTAATTCAAAATGGATGCATGACCTAAATGTAAAATCTAAAACTAAAAAATCTCTTAGAAAAAAAGAAAAGCAGAAGTAAGTCTTCATGACCTTAAATTTGGCAATGGTTTTCTAGATAAGACATCAGAAGTATAAATAACAAAAGATAAATGTAAATTTTGGATATCATCAAAATTAAAAACTTTTGTGTTTCAAAGAATACTATCAAGAACTTAAAGACAACCAGAGTGCTAGAAAGTAACTAATAATATATTTGAAAAGGGACTTGTAACTAAAATTTGTAAAAAATTATTACAATTCCATTGTAGAAAGACAACCCAATTAAAAAATGGCCAAAGACTCTGAATTGACTTTTCTCCAAAGAATATATGCAAGAGTCTGATAAACATAAAAAGATATACATTAGTCTATCAGGGAAATGCAAATCAAAACCACAGACACTAAGATGATGATTATAAAAAATAAAAATAAAAAATAAAAAGATGGTAACTAGTGTTGACAAGTATGTGGAGAACCTGGGACTCTTGTGTGTTGCTGGCATGAATATAAAATGGTGCAAATGCTTTGGGAAACAGTTGGTAATTCCTTAAAAAATTTTGACACAGTATTTTCACTTCTAAGGATATACCCAAAGGAAGTGAAAATATTACACTCAAAACTTGGTACACTAATTTTCATAGCAGTATTATTACTCATAATAACTAAAAAGTCCATCCAAATGTTCATTAACTAACGTGAGAACAAAATGGTATATCTATACAATGAACTATCCAGCAATGAAAAGGAATAAAGTACTGATACATGTTACCATATGGATGAGACTCATCAAGAAGTCAGTCACAAAGAACTATAAATTGTAGGATTCCACGGACAAGAAGTGTCCAGAATAGATAAACCTTTAAAGACAAATAGACAAACCTTTAATTAATGGTTGGGGTGTGATACCTAAAGGGGTTTCTTCTCAGCGGGAGGAGTATTTTCAGAAAAGGTAAATATACCAGGACCCCTTGCAGGAACCAAAATCCAAGAAGTTCAAGTCCCTTATACAGGGTATTCCCAAAAGATGTATGTACAGTTTAACAGCTGATACCTCAATTTTGAAAATTTTATAAACACTGCCTTTATAATTATTCAAAATATGTGTATACAATTGGGGGGAGAGGACACCCTTTATTAAATGCCTTAGATTAGAATAATGCATACAGTTCGCCCTCTGGCATCTTTGGATGTAAAACCTGCAGATACGGAAAGCCAACTATTTAAAACCAGTTGTAAGTATTTAAGAAAATGCCAATCTAGGTCTTAGGGAAAGATGGGGTGTGCAGCATGTATTTTTTCTTATCTTGCTAACTAGAGGCTTTTTTTTTCTTTTCTTGTTTTTGCCTATTCCTTTATTTAAGTACTTATTTATAAGCACTTTACACTGCTTAATTATTGGATCGCCTTAATATTTGATGAAAGAAAAGTTGTGTGTAATGTTTTGAGGACTCTAAGGGAGAAGGGGAGGGGTATGTGCCACAGAGGGCTGTAAAGGTAATATTTTGTTTGGTTGAGTTTTGTTTTGTTTTTCTAAAGCTTTTATAGATTCTAGACAACTGAAATTATGGGGTTTTACTTTTATTTTGTGCCTAAATTGTAATCTCACAAGTCCTAATAACTTTTGAGAATAGTAACCAGCAGGATTTTTTTTTAAGCCACACTTTAAACCAGAAGTGGGGAACATCTTACCAAGAGCAAGGAAGGGACAGTGAGAGAGAAAAACTGTGAGAGCAGAACATTGATTGGCTGCCTCCTGCAACCACTCCCCCCAAACCAGGGATTGAGCCTGCAACTTGTGCATGTGCTCTGACTGGGAATCAAACCAGCAACCTTTTAGTGCAAAGACGGTGCTCAACCGTGTGCAACAGCAGGCTAATCTTTAAGTTGATGATTTTGTATGGCCCACAAATGATGTTGCAAATATCCAAATGGCCATTGGTAGGAAAAAGGTTCTACACGCTGTTTTAAAGAGAGGGAAAAGGCTGTATTTCTTAAACAATGACTGCTCAAATCAGTTGGGGGCTATGGTTTGCCGGAGTATAGGGAATCAATTTGCTCCCATGTTAACATTAACTCTAGTTCTCTAAATTTTACCCAGTGAATTTAAAAGTAATGTTTTTATTATAACGTATGATCCTATACCTCTTCTGGACACTGATACATGAATCAAAAACTGATAGTTAATCTCCTTGAGTTTAACAAACCTGATGTTATGATAATGTGATTTTTTTTTTTTTTTTTAAGAATTGCTGGAAATTAGGGTTTTCTTGAGAACATTAAAGGAAAGGCATATAGTTTGGAAAAGAATTGTGATTTATTATTACTCATTTGATTCTTGAGCTCAAATCTATATTTGAAAATGTCCATCAAGACATATCTGCTATGATGTGTCTGTATTTTAAAGTGTAGTTTGTACATTTGTGGTCCTAGAGAGAGACGACGTCGACGAAGCAGGAGTGGCACAAGATCTCCTAAAAAGCCCAGGTCTCCGAAAAGAAAACCGTCTCGCTCACCGTCCCCTAGGAGGTAGGAATGCTAAATGATTTAGGTGTCCTCTTTCAACTTTCAGAACTTCACTTTCCATAAAATGCTTATGACTGTGCTTTTTTCTTTCATGACTTTAGACAGTTACAATAAAGATTGAACATTTTATGCCTGTAACCAAATTAGTTTTCTTCTGTTGCTGAGCATGGCTTGTGTCCAGTGTTTTGAAAATGGATATTTTCTATATTTTTTTAAAATATATTTTTATTGATTATAGATAAGAAGGGGGGAGAGAGAGAAACATCAGTGATGTGAGAGAATCATTGATTAGCTGCCTCCTGCACACCGCACACTGAGGATTGAGCCTACCCCTGACCGGGAATTGAACCTTGACCTCTCCTGATTCATAATTTGACACTCAACCATTGAGCCACACTGGCTGGGCTAGTCTTTTTTTTTTTTTTTTTTTTTTTTTTTAATTAATTTAATAAAGAAAAACATCAATTTGTTATTCCACTTATTTATGTATTCACAGTTGCTTCTTGTATGTCCAGGGGTGGGAAACGTCCAGATGGCGGGGCACACTAAATTCTGGTCTGGCCCTGCCAAGGCATTAGGGGTGAGTTAATTAAATGTTTGACCAAATACAGCAGGCTAATTTTTTAAGTTGATAATTTTGTATGGCCCAGGAATTGATATAAAAATTCAAATGACACTTGGCAGAAAAAAGTTTCCCCACGCCTGTTGTACCCTGACGAGAGATCAAACCTGCAACCTTAGTGGTGTATCAGGACAATGCTCTAACCAACTGAGCTACCAGGCCAGGGCCCTGTATCCTCTTTATATCATGTGAACTTGGGTCAAGCTTAGCATCTAAACAAGTTAAAACTTACTGCTATGCTTATGGGTAAAAATTATTAAGCATATCCCTTAAAGCATCTTTTTTTTCTTTGAGAACATTTTCCTGTTATCCTAGGCATAAAAAGGAGAAGAAGAAAGATAAAGAAAAAGAAAGAGGCAGAGATGAACGAGAACGATCAACAAGCAAGAAGAAGAAAAGTAAAGATAAAGAAAAGGACCGGGAAAGAAAGTCTGAGAGTGATAAAGATGTAAAAGTATGTTTACAAAACTAATTTATTTTGATATTTTAGGTGGTACTAGTTCTTACAAGAATTGATTTTTCTGTGAAGACATTTACTTTTATTATTCTCCTTGGCAAAGCAGGTTACACGGGATTATGATGAAGAGGAACAGGGGTATGACAGCGAGAAAGAGAAAAAAGAAGAGAAGAAACCAGCAGAACCAGTTTCCCCCAAAACAAAAGAATGTTCTGTGGAAAAGGGAACTGGTGATCCCCTGAGAGAATCCAAAGTGAATGGTGATGATCATCATGAAGAAGACATGGATATGAGTGACTGAATATGGCCTCCATGAGAATCCACCTGTATACATGCATCAGTGTCATTCCTTTGTGTGATTTCTTCATGCTGTATTTGTTCATCTCAAACCTTAGATGTATACAGCTCTGAGCTATAAATGGTTATAAAGCTCCTGATATTGATATTACTTACATCCAAAAGTTTTTGGAAAATGCTGTGTGGGTAACCAATTCTTGACGTGGTGAAATCTGATTGAGAAACCAAGCAGCTTGACTATTCTGGCACTGCTTCATAACAGAAGTGAAAGGCTGCATGCATCTACAGCAGGCATGGATTGTTTATGTTGTATAATCTCCTTTATTAAGTAAGTTCACATAGAATTTCTAGAATTTGATTCATTGCCGTAATAGAGCCATGTAGAGAATGCACTGATTGCATGTTAATTGTGGCAGGAGTATCCTCATTGTCATTAAAATCTTCCAACATGATGGATCTACTTAATGGTCTTGTTTGTTCACATGACAAATTAACATTCTTATAGATACATCTGGAAATAAGCATTTGAATTAGATAATCCTCTAAGCCTTGTGGCTGAAATTTTGTGGCTTTTGTTTAACTTGGAAAGGTTATATATGCACTAACCTTTTTTGATGGCTGCTTAGGCTTTAATTACAGAAACAAGATTTCAAATGAAACTGTCTTTGGCAGTAAGTAAATAGCATATTTTGAAGTAGAGTTGTATACTTTTTCATAAGGTGTTTGGGAATTTTTTCCCCTGAAATAATTTATTCCACACCTGTATCATTGAATGCTAACTGCCTATCCTGAGTCCATCTGTAAAACAGTTATCTCGTCCTAATTTTCAATTTTTCACTTTAATTTGTTTTAATCTTAAGTGTTGGAAAAAGGGGTAGTGCATTTTAAATTGACCATATGCTTTTAAAGTGAGACAAATGTACTTGATAATGTACTTTTTATTTTATCTCAAGTTGTATAAAAACAAATTTGTGTTATTGTTACTGCAGTAGTAATCTTATGCCCACAGTGATTCCATGTTAAATGCAGAGTAGTTTAGGCAACTGTTTTCTTAGTTACAGGAGTTTCCAGCTTCACTTTTGTGCAGTAAAAACAAAAGTAGGCTACAGTCTGTGCCATGTTGATGTACAGTTTCTGAAATTGTTTTACAAGACTTTGATAATAAAACCCTTAAACCTATGTTCATGTTCCTGTAAAACCGTATTTGTATTTATTTACAAGCTGTTGAATGTATGACATTTACCTCATTCATTTTACAAATCAAGTACTTTCTCCTACAATCCACATATTTACTATACAATCCTATCACTGTAGCGATTAGTTACCATCAGAATTGTTAAAGTTGCTTTAATTTCTATCTAAAACAGTCTATTTCTTAGTGTAAATTTCTTATTTTGGGTGTAGGGTTTGGGTTGAGTAAAACTATGATAAATGGTCCCTCCTGTATCTACTAAATTTATATTTTCAATGAAATATTTGCCTTTGCTGGAATAGTATAGCAACTCAATGGTATGTATCTACTGTACAATACTAAATATATTTATTCATTTATGAAATGAGTAGTGTTAGAGTGGCTGGGATTAAGGGAGAAATGAGACTTGGAAGTATAGCTCTTAATCCAGGTCTGATAATTTTTTTAACTTTTAAAATTGAAATGCCATATAGAAAAGCAGCATTCTTTTTACAGTTTATAGTAAGTAACTTTTTAAAGATTTTATCAAAAGGAATTTTGTCTATAGTTAAGAAGTTCTGGTAATGGCCCTAAATAGTCATTTTAAAACAGTTGAACACAAGTGACATTTAAACCTACAAAAACTTTCTTAGTAGGCAATGGTTGAACCTTATGATTGCCATTTTTATAAATGAAAACGGTAAAATATTGGCAGTTGCACCTGGTTAAACCTAGTATTAGTCTATTTCCTCACTTGTAATCTCTGAATACAAATATACTTAACTTTGGCTATAAAATAGTGCCACTAATGTGAAATGCAGTGAAGGGAACCCGGTTGTACCTAGGTTATTTTTCAGTGAACCTTTTATGCACAATGATAGGGTTGCACAGGGACACAAGCCTTTTAACACAGATAATCAAGTGAATACTGACTGCCTCCACACTTGAGTTTTGTTCTGTATTTAGTAGTAATTAAAAAATAAAAGTGGTTTTGTTAGAAAAAATGTTTGTCCTATTTATTTGCTTAAATTCTTCAGGAGTGAATGAGAGATATATGAGTCTAGTCATGAGTTTTGGTTTCATTTACAACTGGGAAGACCTGTATCTTTTACTTTGCATTTCCTAATTGTGATATGAGATTGATACCTGGTTTACAATGTAGTTGATAATTGGGGGAGCTGCAGGCTTGTGTTGCCTGGGTCAATAAATGTTAAACACTTAGGGAAAGAACAAATGGCTTGTACTAGAACAGTACAAACTAATTGTACTTCTAGCTGCATCTTACAACTCAGTCAAGTTCTGGTGTGGGTATCAAAGAAAATGTATGTACAAGCCAACTTTTCCTCTAGCAAACAAGACCCACTCTCTTCAGTCGAGTTCTAGGTTAAGTGCCTCAGGGCCATGCAATCAGTATTTCAGTTGTGTTTACTTTGGTTAAATATGGATGTTACGGAAATGCTACTGGGACTTTCAAGAGCATCCAGAATGTCTATTCCGAAGGCTTTATTAGCATAGGTCCTTTCTAAATGAGACTAATTCTGGAGTTGTGGATTTATTTGCCTATTTTACTCAGTTTTAATTTTGTTGCCATTTTCACTGTATGTGAAATTAATTTAGAAATTCTTTTAGGAGCCCTAGCGGGTTTGGCTCAGTGGATAAAGCATCTGCCTGTGGGGTTCGATCCTGATCAAGGGCACATGCTCGATTGCAGGCTCCATCTCCAGTAGGGTGCATGCAGAAGGCAGCCAATCAATGATTCTCATCATTGATGTTTCTATCCTCCCTCTCTGAAAGCAATAAAATATATATATATATATATATATATTTTTTTTTTTTTTTTTTTTTTTTTTTTTTTAATTTTCACCCTAACCGGTTTCGCTTGGTGGATAGAGCACTGGCCTGCTGATTCAAGGATCCCAGGTTCGATTCCAGTCAAGGGCATGTGCCTTGGTTGAGGGCACATAACCAGTACAGAGTGTGCAGGAGGCATTTCTTTAGCAAAATACATGTGAACCATACTAAATTCTTCAACTGTGGGAATATTCTTAAGAGTACACTTACTACTTTTAAAATATATATATACTTATTACAGAATTCACAGAATAATGAACGTATTTTATATATTTTTATTCATTTCAGAGCGGGAAAGACAGGAATATCAATGATAATCATTGGTCAGCTTCCTCCTGCATACCCTTAACTGGGAATCGAGACCACAACCCGGGCATGTGCCCCTACTGGGAATTGAACCTTGATCTCCTGGTTCATAAGTCAATGTTCAACCAATGAATCCCACCAGCCAGGCCAAACGTTTTTTTAAATAATGTCCTTACAAACATAACTGGGAAAGATGCTCTCCTTCCTGGGAGCACGCCCATGCCTTTCCCATCTCCTTCCTCTTCTCTGCCCCACACTTTTTACCAAGTTCCATGGGCTTTTCTTTACCTCCATAAACTTGTTTCCTAAGCCCACTTCTAGAAATTTTCCTGTAATTTACCAAATAAATGTTCTCTTATACAAAAAAAAAAAATTGGGAAGTGACATGTTCTCATTCTTTCCAAAATGTCACTTTGTAAAGGTTATTTCTCCAGTGCATGGTCACTCATGCCTTAAAAAAAAAACAAAAAAAAAAAAAAAACCTAGTTAGCTAAAGTATGATGCTTTGGCCGGGACCGGTTTGGCTCAATGGATAGAGCGTCGGCTTGGGGACTGAAGGGCTCCGGGTTCAATTCCAGTCAAGGGCATGTACCTTGGTTGCGGGCATATCCCCAGTAGGGGGTGTGCAAGAGGCAGCAGATCGATGACTCTCTCATTGATGTTTCGAACTCTCTATCTCCCTTCCACTCTGTACAAAAATCAATAAAATATATATTTCAAAAAATAATAATAATAAAGTATGATGCTTTGGACATAAGAAATTGAAGGTTAACAGTCACAAAAGTAAAATGTTAAAATTTTCATATTTGAATATTGTTTTAGAAGACGTATAGATTTAACTTTTTTTTTTCTTTGTTTTTTTTTGTTTTGTTTTGGTTTTTTTTTTACCAGTCAGCATTCTAAGAACCAAAAGATTTGTTACAGAGATTTGACCTTAATTTTGGGAGCTGGTTAACCAGTTTCAAATCTGGTTATGGGCTTTGTACGAAGCCTGACGTTGAAGCCTGCGGGCAGTTGAGAAGGGAAGATGGATAATTAGAGGGAAGATTAAATTAGAACCCCAAGCACAAGCTGGAACCAGTAAGGATGGGCTAAAACTCGGGTATCATTGCATCTGAACTGGGTGGCACGGCAGAAGCCAGGATTCTGTATCATGAAGCTAAACACATATCTGGCCCATAAGCTGAAGGAGAAGGTAAAGTAACTACAGGCCTGGCTTCTACCTCATCCCAAAGGTGCCAGCAGGAAAATTACAAAATTTCTGCTTCGCTTCTGCTCTCCAAAACTGCTACACCACCCATTTTCATGAAAGCATCCCACCCAGCCATTGTCAGCCTTTAGTGACCAAGAATGCTACGGGAGGTACAAGTAATTTTTTCTGTGGGTTTTTTTTTTTTTTAGTTTTTAGTTTACCCTGTATGTTGTTTTTATTAGACGTTTTTTACTTTAGGCAAGTTTTTTTTAATCTGCAAATCGATCAAATTCAGAAGTGGTTGCCAAGTACCTTTCTTTAATATCCTTAGATTTAGCTTAGGTATTTGCAGGCGCTGTGGCAAAAGCGAAATTGTAACTGTATCATAGGTGCCATTATGAATAAAAGTATTATACTGAAAGATTATAATTTTAAAAATTCATTATTAGGTAGTTCTGTAAAGATCAAAAATGCAAAAATAATTGAGATGACGTTTAGATGACAATCTAAGATACTACTCCAGATTTCTGACATAAAATGCTTTGCAAAAAAAAGTAGTTTTTGCTAATTTGTAGTACATAACCGATGGGCTTTAATTTTGCATTTCACAAATAGTGTAATATCCTCTGTCCTTTTTTCTTTGGGGCAAGTTTCTCTGTCAGTTGTCTGAAATTTTAGTTTCCAAATACAAAAATTTTGGTAAGGATGTGTTTTCTTAATTTTAGAAAACATTGGTAAGATACCTCTTGCTGGAGTTAACAGCAGAAGCATATTGTGTTCCATGCTAATCAAAAATTCTCTCACTCAATTTTAAAGGCAGGACTTAAAAAATAAATAAATAAAGCAGAACTACCTAGTGTTCAAATTCATCTAGTGTTCTGCAACTTTTTTACTCATTCTATCTATATAAAAATATATATATATAAAAGCCTAATAATGTGCAAATTGTCAGATCAGAAGTTTGATCGCTCACTATGACGTACACTGACCACCAGGGGGCAGCAGTGGGAAGGTCAAGATAGGCCCTAATCACTGGCAATGCCAAGGGACCCTATCCATGCACAAATTTCATGCACCGGGCCTCTAGTTTGCAAATAAAAGGAACATAAATGAGCAAAAGGAAGCAATCCTTATATCAATATGGAAACATTTAGTCCAGATCTTTTTTGTCCCCTTGAAGCAGGATCAATTCTGTAGACATAGTGAAAAATAAGAAGGGATCACTAAAGATCATTATTCACTACCCTCCTGTAAGGTGTGGATTATAAACTATCAATATATATGAATAACAGTATAAAAACTCTAATAGTGTGAGTGGGGTTCAATACCAATTCAAAGCAGAAACAAAACTGTTTTCAGCTTCTGTCTGCTATTAGCTTCTCTGAAATGTGTTAATTTCCAGACCATCATATGTTCCTAGCTTCACAATAATCAGAGCATCTGCTTTATGCTTCCTTTTTATGAAATCTGTCAATTCTCTATGAAGCAAGTTCTCAGAAATTATATTCTTTAAGACAAGAATCATACCTTCTTTTGATACTACACTGGAGGGCAGAAATACTGAGCTCTTCAAAATAGCTATTTAAGGTGACCATTTCTTAGGCCCCCAAGTCTTAATTTTCTTCAATCACAAATAGAAGACACAGAATTCTATGGACC